TAATTATTAAAGAATTTGATGTAATTTTTGAGATTTATATTGTAAATTATTTGAGGATCGTAGTGAGTGAGTGAGTCCCGGCGAGAGCTGGGCAGGCGACCCACCGAACCCTGGGGTACGCCCTAGGGGGGAGGTGGAGCCGTCACATGATGACACCATCAAGCAATTTCTCTCGAATGAAATGACAATCAACTTCAATATATTTTGTCCTTTCATGAAACACTGGATTAGACGCAATATGAACAGCCGCCTGATTATCACACACTAAATTCATAGACTGTTTATACTCAAACCCAATTTCAAGTAACATGCTCTTCAACCAAATCAACTCACACACAATATGAGCTATAACACGGTATTCAAATTCTACACTTGATTTGGAGACAACTTTTTGCTTCTTACCCTTCCACGACACTAAATTACCACCAACAAACACACAATATCGTATCATCGATTTTTGATCTGAGGTAGACCCACTCCAATCTGCATCACTATATCCTTCAATATCAGTGTGTCAATGATTTTGATACAGCAATCTTTTTTCAGGTGCACTCTTAAACTATCTAAGAATTCATATAACAACATCCCAATGACTGGTACAAGGGGTCTCAAAAAATTGACTCACGACTCTCACTGCAAACGAAATATCGGGTCTCGTTACAGTGAGATAATTTAATTTACCTACAAGTTTTCGATATTGCCTAGGATCATCTAGTAATGCACCTTGATCCCCTACTAATTTCATATTAGGATCCATAGGAGTATTCACAGGTCGGCAACCTAACATCCTAATTTTACTAAGCATATCGAGTACATATTTCCTTTGACATAAATAAATCTCACATTTAGACCGATCTATCTTTGTGACGCCCCAAAAGAATGAGTGTGAGAACCCGGAAATTTTTTAATTTTCTAGGGTTTATTTTATTTAATCGCCCGCCTTTTCTACATTTTCTTTATTAGAAAAATTCACCAGATAAAGTTTACGAGCAAATATAGTTTTAAGATGATTTTTCTAGTATCGGGTAGTTTTTGAGAAATAAGGAGTGTATACTGGAGGTGGGACCCACTAGTGCGGTAAATGCGATATATTTTTGACAACTTTTTGGAGTTTTGTATTAAGTGATATTATTATACAAGGTGCTAAGAGATAATTAGAAGTTACCTATATGGATTAGTAGTGGAGAGACAAAAGGATAAGTGTTAAACTTACAAGGTGCCACGTGTCACTTTTTCATTCGAGCTTGGACTTTGACCATTATTTCTTACCTTTACTAAAACCTCAATTTGACCCAAAAATCACCTTCATTTCACCTCTCTTGGCTGACTCTCTCTTGAGAGAAAAGAAAAGAAAGTTTCAACCTTTCATCTTCCATTCTTGTACAAATCTTGAAATCCAACCGATTACACCTTGAATTAGTCCACAAAAGTGACTTGCTAAGGGAGTTTGAAGGTCTTGGTGGAGTTGTTTTGGAAGAAAAACCACTAAGCTACTACTTTTCTTGTGGTTTTAAGGTATTTTGCCTAGAACATCCTCCTTACTTCAATTAATTGCTTATTAGTGGTTTTAGATGTTGTTTTGTGGAAGATTAGCACTTGAATGCATGAATTCCAGGTTAGGGTTTTGAATGACCCTGTTCTGTCCGATTTTTTTTGAGCAAGCTAGAGGCCGAATTAGCCTTAGGTTAAAACATGAAAGTTGTAGAGAATGATGTTTTATAGTTTCCTGTACAATTTCAGGCCAATCTAAGCTCAGTAGCTTGTGAAAGGTCGGAAATACCCAGACTGGTCTAGGTAGGAGTTCAATGAACAGGGTTGTCTTTTCACCCAATCTGACTGTGACTTTTCACTCTGATCCTTACCGAATTAGATTTTGCCCAAAACATAAAAGTTGTACCCAATGGTATAAACTAGTTGCCTACAAAATTTCAGCTTGATTCTACCACTGTAGCATGTGAAATGACCGAAATACCCTTGACTGTCCATGAAACCTGTTTCGCGCCCAGATTTCTGTTTTCGTGTAGTTTTCCATTTTTTATCATGAAAATGCATGATTTGGCCTTGGAGGTCTTCATAAGAAATGTAGGGTTGTGTTTTGGCTTCGAAACACCATAAGATACACTTCAATCGGACTTCGGTAGCCTGAGTTATTGCTGTTTAACAATTGTGCGGTTAGCCAACCTGTTTGTGAGATTCTGGTTTCGTATATTTCAATTTTGACCTAACTACACTATGAACTGGACTGAGTGGTCTTCATCAAAGTTGTAGGCCTTTGACTTAGCTTCGAAACGGTATAAGTTGTACCTCAATCCAATAAGTGTAGCCTCGGATGTGTCCTTTCCGCAAAAACCCGTCAAATCTGTCTTTTGTTAAACGTCATTTCCGCATATGTCCTAGCTTGGTTTGGTAATCATATAACTTGGAGCCTATAGAATGGCTATTGAAATGAGATGGTTCTGTATATGACTTTGAGTTTGTGATTTAGAGCTTAGATTCGGACAAGATAATGATATATGATGGATGGTTCCTGAGTCGTGGAGGTGAATGACCTTAAACTGTTTCTAAAGTTACTTTTGAACCGTTTCTTGCATTATTTACTCGACTGCATATCATGCGTGCTTGCATGTGAGTTCATGACATGATTTGGCTTCACTGAGTTCTTGGGAAGTCTTGTGCTAAACACCAACGTCTCCACCTCTGTTTACTGTTCATCTGGAGCAAATGGCTCCCTCTTACTGTTTCACTGTTACTGGATCTATTTGAGCGTTGGGTGTTTAAGTGCAACGATTTCACTGGCTCACGAGAGCAATAAACGTACATTTGATCTCTGAATCATGACATCATCGAAATACGTTATTGTGAAATATATCTGCTTACTGATTTTACTGGTTACTCACTGAGTTTCTAGCTCACCCCAAAACTATTTTATTCCCCTCCACATGGCTCGTGGCGAAAGAAGGGCTTGTAGTACTTATTCCTGTAATCGGATGAATTATCTTATGTGTACTTTAAATTTTGAAATTCCTCCTGTATCATAGTTGGTATTAAGGATCAGAGTGGCGCAGCGGAAGCGTGGACGCTTCGCTTTTGATATGTAATTATTGGAGACTTGGATGTATATTTGAGATTTATTTTGTAATTCATTTGAGAACTGTAGTGAACGACTGAGTCCCGGCGAGAGATGGGCAGGCGGTCCGCCGAACCCTTTGGTTCGCCTTAAGGGGAGGTGGGGTCGTCACAATCTTAATATCCAGAAAATATTGTAAATGATCTAAATCCTTTATTTGAAAGTTTGCCTGCAGATTGGATTTAAGTTTCCAGATCCCCACAACATTATCACCTGTAATCACAATATCATCCACATAAACAACTAATAAAATCTTACCAACATTAAAATGCCGATAAAATACAAAGCGATCTACTCCACATCTTGTCAGACCGAACTCCATGATAACACTACTAAACCGACCAACCCAAGCCCTAAAAGACTGTTTCAATCCATATAAGGATTTTTTCAGACGACAAACCAACCGCGAATTTTCCTTCTGAACAACAAAGCCAGGAGGTTGTTTCACATATACCTCTTCTTCTAAATCTCCATGTAGAAACGCATTTTTCACATCCAACTGATGCAATGACCAATTATAGGTTGTTGCCAAAGAGATAAAAAGACGAATAGAGGTAATCTTTGCGACATGAGAAAATATTTCTAAGTAGTCTATTCCATACACCTAAGTAAATCCTTTAGCTGCCAGACGAGCCTTCAATCTATCAATAGAACCATTAAGCTGAACTTTAATAGTATACACCCATTTACCAACAGGCTTAGGGACAAGATCCCAAGTACCATTTTGCTCCAAAGCAGACATCTCTTCTTGCATAGCTAATCTCCAACCAGGCTGATTGAGAACATGGGTAATATACTTAGGAATGGAGATAGAATCAAGTGAATCAACAAAATAAGAATATGACAGAGAGAGACAAGAATAAGAAACAAAATTAGAAATAGGATGAGAATTAAATACCTCTTACCTATGCGTAAAGCAATAGGAAGATCTAACTCATAAGAGGGCGTCATACCTGGATTTGAAGATTGAGAGTTAATTGATGAAGTGCATGACATATCAGAAGCTTTCTCAACTATGGAACGACAAAAGTAAACTTGAAAATTAGGACGAGATAATCGAGTTGCGGAATCTGGTGGACTAGATAACTCAGGTAATAAAGAGAAAGGGACTGGTAAAATAAGAGAGGGAAAAGAGAGACACTGGTCTAACTCACAAGGCATACCTTGTTTCATAAAATAAAGGGTGGATTCAAAGAAAGTAACATCAACACAAGTAAAAAATCGATTTAAAACTTGACTGTAATATGTATACCCTTTTTGCGCTCGTGCGTATCCTAAAAAAATACATTTAATAGTACGAGGATCTAATTTATCCATCTCAGAAATAAGTTGATGAACAAAACACACACATCCAAAAATACGAGAAGATAATTTAAACACAGGTTCATGAGGAAAAAAATGAAGTGAGGTAATTGACCTCCAAAAATATTAGATGACATGCGATTAATTAAATAAGATGCAGTTAGAACTGCATCATTCCAAAATTGTTTGGGCACATTCATGTGCAACAAAAGTGTTCGAGCAATTTCGATTAAATGTCTAATTTTTCTTTCCGCAGCTCCATTCTGTTGTGAAGTGTGGGAATAAGAGGACTGATGAATAATACCGGACTTAGTCATAAAAGTATCAAAAGGAGTGAAAAAATATTCTTTCACATTATCACTGCGAAGTATACTATAGGCACACCAAATTTATTCTTTATTTCTGTAACAAATGCAGAAAAAATGGAATATAATTCTAAACGATCTTTCATTAAATAAAACCATATAACTCTGAAAAAATCATCAATAAAGATTACAAAATATTTAAAACTTAACTTTGAAGTGATTCGGCTAGAACCCCAAACATCAGAATGAACTAACAAAAAGGGTTCAAAAACCCATTTATTGACTCTAGGGGCAAAAGAAACACAATGATGCTTCCTTAACTGACAGGACTCACATTCTAATAAAGACAACTGACTCAAAGTATGAACCAACTTTTTCAAAATTTGTAGAAATGGATGACCCAACGACAGTGAATTTCAAGAGAAAAAACAGTAGTAGGACATGCAATCGAACCATTGGGGTTGAGAAAATAAAGACCATTATACTCATGCCCTCCACCAATCGTTCTCTTTGTCTTCAAATCCTGAATGACAACGAAATCAAGAGGAAAAATAACTGAACACTATAAAAATTTAGTAAGATTACTAACAGACATTAGATTAAAAGACAAACTGGGTACGTAAAGAACAGAAGACAACGGAAAAGATGGATTAATTTCTACAGTACCTAGTTCTTTAATTTTAGTGTTAGATCCATCGGCTAAAGTACAAGAAGCAAGTATACTAATGCCATTTCTAATGTGGTTTCTTGAGGGCAAGGGTTCAACGCTAACCAAACATACAGGTCCACCTCATATAAGAGTTCAGACTCAGTGATAACAGATGTAAAGTCCTTTTCCACATCATCACGGGACCTATACCCAGCACAAGATGTGTCAACTGGGAAGACTAAAATGTAATCAGAGTCAGCAACAACATGATTTTCATAAGCCATATCAGAAATCATGTAGCAGGTCTATAGCAACTTAATCATCATTCTAGGGGCTAAAAAATTATTTATAGTACCAGTCCTGTTTCACTTTCTTGCAAAATCTCTCTTGGGACTAAAACTCAGACAAAGGTTATGGTCCCCTTGTGGAAATTTTTGCAATAGATAACTCAAATAGTAAAACTTACCTGATTCTTGCAATAGTCCTGACATGGCCAGTGCCCATGTATGCATTCTGTGCTGGTCATGACATTCAAGCACCCCTCTCCGCACGCACTTTCAGGGTTATCATATTTATAGACACAAATGGCCACATCATCATCCTTCAGCTTCTTTGGTCTGAGAGCAGAAAGCAGTACTTTAATATGTGATTTCAAAGGCAAATAATTACAAGCAGGAATAAACGTCCAGCTAAAATCCAAAGCTACTTCATTACATTTATCCATCCTTAACACAAGTGGTGCGTGCTTGCAATGTTACATTAATTTGCAAACTAAGATTGGTAAAATGAAATTTTGATGAGTTTTCTTTGCGTCCCTAATTTTGCCCATTAAAGATGTCCAGAAGCAAAGTGTCAGTAATCTAAGTAAAAACCATACAAGCAATCACATACCATAAGAAGGAGAAGAGTAGACAAGCTCTAAATTTACCACTCGGTTCAACAGAGTAAATATCACTCAGCAAGGAGCACAAACAATGTGAAATCTTACTTTCGGCCAACAAAATCATTATGGTAAATATGGGTGAAGGATGATGGTCCCTTTGGAAGTTCAACCTACAAAACAACATTCACTTATTAAACATTTAAACATGACAAGTTATAAACCATATACAATCACCAGAAAGTTCTAGGACGTAAATCAGTGGCTTACTCATGACATAACATTTTCTTCAAGGCATGAGCTAAACAAAAAGACCTTAAAATGCAACTGAAAACAATTTAAGTCTAAAAACACTTAATGAGACAAAAGTAATAGATGCATTTTTCTAGTAACTTGCTTAAAAGGTGTAGATTAGGTTCCAAAAGGGCACAAGGCAGCAACAAAGCAAGAGTTAAAACATGGCTTCCATCAACCAATCTGTCTGACAAAACTTTCACACAAAAGCGGAATTTTAGAAATTAAAAAAAAAAATAGCAGAATTTTGTGTTGACCTTCAGTGCAGTAATTTCAACTGCCAATATATGCTGCAAATCTATGACATCTTTAACATAAGCAACAAAGGCTCAAAACCAGATTGGAACTAGAAACAATTTTAAACTCCAATATATCTTTAATGACCTAAACTCTCTATCAGTAATCTTCCCACCTCATAGCAGTTGAAGTGGGAATTTCATAACACCACAACAAGATTTGAAGCAAAATGTCGAACAGAATTGTGGAATTGAAGAGAAAAACTCAAACTCAATTTCACATAAAAATGTCCACCAAAGAAAAACCAGTATATAAAGTAAAAAAGTACAATTTTCCTACATACCACAAAAAATAAGAGAATTTCTTAATTTGTTTAAAAGGAAAACCTTGCATACCCAGCAGAACTATGAAACAAATATTAAATAAACCATATTATTACATTGGAAGAAAGGTCAAGACAAAACAAAATTAGTAGTTCTACCTTTTTCAAGAAAGAAATATTTATATTCTAGATGGTCCATACATTCACCTACTATTCTTTCTAAGCCAAAACTAAGAGGCTATCACACAATTAGTCAGCAAAATTTCGGAATCTTGATTATCTTTTGACAAGTTCAATTAATATCCCAAAATCTTGAACGAATCCCAACTCCTAATTCCAAGATTGACTATTTCTAAGAATTCAATTTTTGTAACTGTTAAAATTAGTTGTCCTCAGAGTTGTACAAAGAACACCAGATATGAAAATTAAAGCAGTTCCTTCTGCATCACATAGACAGATACCGCTTAAGTCCAAGGGTCAACGGAGGGCATGGTTAATTGAGAAAAATTGTTTCAATTCCTAATGAATCTAATATACAATAAGCAAACTAAAGTATATCACACGCCATATCCTCAAAAATCAGGAAAAAAAAAACTATTCTAAAATCAAACGCAGAAAGACAGTTGCAAGAATTACAAATAGGTGAGACCTTCTTACGATGCCTCCTAGATCGAGTTGAAATGTTGGAAGGAGGAGCTCTGTAAATTTCCCTAGAAAGTTCCTTCAGATTTTGTTTCTCCGTTGAGAAAGCTAAAAGTACACTAATCTCTCATAAATTAAGAAGCATTATTAGGAAGATAGGAAAAATATGAAGTTTGCGGGTCAAGCTGAGAAAATGTAGCAGGTGGCAGAATCGCACTATCAGGAATAAAAGGGCAAACATATCTATGCAGTAGTGTGAGTGGAGACCTATAGGATATATATATATCATACAGTCTGAATACTTGCGTTCGTATAAGCGTTTTCTTAGATATTGAATTAATACATAGAATGAAACACAAACGAACGATATGGACACTTTCAAATCAAAGATACTGGCACCCCTCTGTTTGACGTAATTCTTGAGATATTAATTATTTGAGCCACAAGGCGCATCTAGGGACCAAGGTCCCTGCATCTTAGGCTTAAGGCACGACACTTGCTTTTTCACATTAGATGTGCATAACTAATAAATGAACCCAAAAAAAAAAACAGCATATGCAATATTCAATCATTCACAATAAGAGCACAGAAAATAAAGCATCAATAACCAACCTCAAAAAACTAAGCACGTTTATATAAGAGTCATAAACATATTAACACACCATCATAGTCACAATAAAGAATGTACATCAACCCGAAACAACATGATGAAAAGTAGATAATATTAAGAAACCACTAAAGATTTTGAATAATCATCTCAATGAGCCAACTCTAAAATTAAAGACTCAACAAAAAAGGAGAAAAATGAAAAACTGCGTTCCTAAGAGCTTCTTTCTCCCAAGCCAAAAAGATGTGAGCTTTCTTACAATTTCCTATATCAGAAAGTATGTGCAAAAATTGCCCCTTGCTGTGCCTCCGTGACACACCTTTAATAATTAGGGTTTTTATCGGTTTATTCCCTTAAACTATACCCCAACTATCATTTTAGTTCCTAACGTTAATTTTTAGTCACTTAAGTTCTTGGACTAACGGTCAAATGAGAAGGCATTTTATAATTCACGTAAAAAGACATGTTTAGATCCAACTTAATTATAAATGGACAAATATACCCATAAATTGCCCTGCTAATATGTGAGAATTGCTTCAATTTGGAAAAATTCGCATGTTCTTATAATTTGGAAAATTATGAAAAGAAAAGGAACACTAGGGAAAATTTTTTTACTAACATATCACTTGAGAAAAAATAGACCTTATAATGGAATAACTATAAAATTTTCCTTCTAAGATTGTCTTTGCTCGATGATGTGCAAACAGGTTATAAAATTTCACACTTCGATATCATCATATTTGCAATGTTTTGACAAGGTATTGCGCAAAATAAAAAATTTTGTAAACAATTTAAGAAAATAGAGGAGAGAAAAGCTTTCTAATCTTTGTTTTATACTTAAAGTACAAGGAGAGGGTATTTTTGTTATAAAATTTTTCACTAAACTTTAGTTAGTTAGCAGGGCAATTTATGGGTATATTTGTCCATTTATAATTAAGTTGGATCTAAACATATCTTTTTAAGTAAATTATAAAATAGGGGTTTTATCAGTTTACCTCCTTAAACTATACCCCAACTATCAGTTTAGTCCCTAACGTTAACTTTTAGTCACTTAAGTCCTTGGACTAACGGTCAACACCATTAGTCCAACGACTTAAGTGACTAAAAGTTAACGTTAGGGACTAAACTGATAGTTGGGGTATAGTTTAAGGAGGTAAACTGATAAAAACCCTAATAACTATGATAGATAAGCCAAGGTTAAATTCAGAAACCACTTCAGATACTTAAGACAACACAACTAATGTGTACTCGGATGCAAGCTAACCTTGAGACCAAACAGTTAGTAAATAAAACAGAAAAAATAACACTTTAACTAAGAGAATATCCACAAGCCTAACTGTAATGACATGCAGAATTGCTCTTACATTAGTTTGAAGAAACATAAAGTGAATGGCATGCAAAATAAAAATAAAAATGTCACTATTTAAAGGCTTGTAGACAAGGAAGTGGTCTAATTTGTTTCAAAAGCAACAGGTGTTAAAATCAGGACTAGCCAGGGCCACGACATGGTCCATAGCAGTGTCTAGGTTCTCAAAAACAAAAAAGTTGTAATGAATTTCAGTTATTTTGCTGCGTGTGGAAAAGGACGAAAACTCAATATCCAAATTCATTCGACATTTGCACCAGTGAGTGAAAAATGATTGTTGGAAAAAGAAAAGTTTAAAGACTGCTGATGATTGTGCTTTCTAAAAGGCCCTAAAGAAAAATTGACAAAGATGCGCAGACTATTTACTATCTATGGTCAACATCGTCCCATGAAGAAATAAAACATTGATGATATTCAGCATCCACATTGCTTCTTTCCTTATTGCAATGTAGATACCTCACTAATCAATATCTCAGTAATTAATTTAAGGATCGGAAAAGAATCTAAAATGGCTTCAAACCTATTAATGTTAATGGATATCAAATTTCACAAAATTTGAGGACTAAATCACATTTCAAGAATCTTATCCCATATTTTCATCTTCAAAAAAAAAAAAGAAAGAGAAACCATGAAACTCAACCTCAAACCAGCCATCTACCTGATGGCAGTTTGTTATTCATATTAGATCATCTGTTTCTAATTCAAAATACCCCGCATGGCATTTGATTCACTACATCTTGGCCATATCTGCTTTTCAACCGAGAAACAATTCTTAATAACACAAGTAATTCATTAACTTCTTTTCCAACAGGCATCGTCTAAACTTGACTAAAATGTTTATCTAAGAAGGGAAATCAAAAGAAACACATGAAGGCATGTGGACAAATATTATTCTCTCGGAAGAAGAAAGTATACTTTTCAATTCCACTACATTAATAGCAGCAGCAAGCAGAAGAAATATCCAACTGGGATGGCATGATTGATAAGTAAATCACCATGTATCAGAAAACCCAAAGCAAATATCATAATTAGGATTCACATTTAGATATTCTATTATAGAATATCTAAAGCAACTAATTCCATGCTTGCCATTTGCAACTTACTAAATAATAGGAGTGTCGAAGAGGATAAAAGAAAGTTTAGGGACAACAAGATTTTCCAAAGAAGAATACTCTTCTTCATCTTCATCATACTTGTGGAAGTGCACAGCTCATCTTCTAAAACTTTCATGCTGAACAGTTAATCAGTTTCCTCAAAGTACAACCCAAAAACCCCCCGTATATGTAGAAGAAGTTCCTGAGAAGGTCAAAGAAAGAACTTCTTCTTTCAACGTGAGGAAAATTCCATTCCTTTTATAAGATGATTTTTTATTCACAAGAAAATGTTATCAACCATCTAAAACTGGAATAGCTTAAAATGACTAGCATGGAAGCAAGGCTCCAAAAGCATGACATAGACTAACTGCATTTACCTTCATTTAAACATGAAATTGAACAAGTTGTCCACCAGAAAATGCAAAACGTATTTAATTTGGTATGGGCAAGTACAAGGGCAACAAACTCAAGTTGTCAAAGTAACCATGATACCGAAAATTTCAAAACCAAAACTAACTGGCCTAACATTTGCAATCTAATTACAGAACACAATTCGTCATGTTCCCAAACCTCTGGACTTCATGTCAACTA